ATCCAGGTGTCTGATCCCGCTTTCCGTGAAGAATTTCTTCCTAATGTCCAGCCTAAACTTGCCCTGTTGCAACTTGCAACCATTCCCCCTGGGAATTCCCCTTCATAAAGAAAGGGAGAAAGAAAGAGAGAAAGAAAGAAAAAAAGAAAAAGACAAGATAAGAAATAAAAAGAGAGGGAGAGAGGGAGGGAGGAAGGGAGGAAGGGAGAGAAAATGAACTTGATGTAACATCCTTCTCAAAAGATGAAAGTAAACTTGATGTGTTTAGTAAGCTCTCAGTGTTGCTCTCAGGCTCTGCCCTTTCCCAAAACTGGGGCTTCCTTCAAGATAAGCCCTCCTACACCCTGGTTTGTTAGGATTTGACATGGTGTTGACTGCTCCCATGATCTTAGTGGGTATGTTTCTGGGGCACTCTGATTTTTGCACTGTGCAGTCCTCACTGGAGCAAACAAAGAAAGGTACCTGGTTATATACAGTCTTGTGTGGCTGTCTTCTGACTCCAGGTGTTGCATGCCTCCTGGAAAATTCTCTGTTAGCTCCCAAGGTATGAATAAACTCTTTCAAGTCATACTCTCTCATTCAGAAAAAATAACTCATTCAAGGCTCCAGGAAAACTCCTGCAATCAGGGCCCATCAAAACACAGAGAAATATTTAAGGAATATGTGTGTATGTGATTGATTCATGTCCTTTTGACCATATCATTCTCTCAGACGTGCATTGTAGACTTGATCAATAGCCTGTCAAAGCAAGAGGAAAATTTTATTTGACCTCAATAGGCTTTGTAGCAGGCACAAAGGATCATGCCTTGTAAATGACATTTGAACAAGACCTTTTGTTCATTTCTGGAGAGATTTCTGGTTTAAAATTGATGTTGCACGATAGGAACATGTCCTGTAAACATTTGTGTGTGGTAGTAAGCAATGGTAACATTTAAAATGTGAGAAATTACGTAAGATGAGACAGGAAGAATGTTTGCAATAAACAGCTTGAAGAATAATGGTTTATTGTTACAGGAAATTGGACTGGCATCTCTGGGAGCTCCAGATGATTTCATAGAGAAACTCGCTACGGTAATTTAATAAGTCAGGGCTCAATTTTCCAAAGCACCCTGTGTTGTCTTAATTCTGCTGCCACTGAAGACACTGATAGAACTCCCATAGAGTTGAATGGGAACAGAGTGAAGTCCATGATGGGAAAACCCCACCCTGAAACAGTTGCATTAAAGGAAAAGAGCTTTGGCACCCCTTATTCAAAGTGACAGTTGTGATTAAACACAGAAGCCCAGACAAGATTTCCTCCAGCACAAACATATTGGGCAAGAAGAGATATTACATGTTACTACATCCCCATAGAAAATTTCAGGAGGCAGTTTCAATAGCTGTTCTACCTGCAAGCACCTCTTTTCTTCCACCCTGCCAGCAGATAACATCCACTGCAGTCAGTGTGGCCCGCTTGAATCCTATTTTGAGGCTACTGAGATCCAGAGCTGTAAACTTTAGATAAAATCAAGAATATACCTATGAGATTAGTGCCCCCAATACCAAATCACCAGAGCAAAGCATTGCACCATCTTCACTCCTTCTTGACAGATGAGGTAGTTCTTCTGAGCCAAAGTAGGTATCACTTCAAACTGAGAGACCAAGAAGTCAAACTCAGCCACACATGGTCTTTGTTCAATATTGCATTAGCAGCCCTTTTCCTCTTTTGCTGCTGCAGCTAGATGTCACCTGTGTGAAACAGGACACAAACTTTTATCAGCTAAGGTCCAAGCTTCAACTGGGGTGGCCAGCCAGAATGAAATTTTATTGCTATAGTTGCATTGTCTCTGCTCTGCTGACAAACGTAAGCACAGTAAAACACAACTGGGTTTGTCGGGGAACCGAACGGATTCACGGGCACACTGAGTATGAAACTGTGCCTCTTTCAGGAGAAGAATTTTGGTCTGCGGGAACATTTACTGGATTGATACAGTTGATATTTGACACACTGCAACATTTTAATTAGAAATGCAAGCTCCACATGTATTCAAATCAATGATGTGCATCTACTATTTTTGATCAAGGAATTGTATGTTTCTGTCTAATTTTCTTGCTAGGTTTATTGGTTTACAGTGGAATTTGGACTCTGCAAAGAAGGCGATTCCCTCAAGGCATATGGTGCAGGGCTGCTGTCTTCATTTGGGGAGCTGCAGGTGTGTTCTGTAAAACATTTCAAAAACATTTATAATCTCTTTTGAATGTCTTCAGATCATTATTTTGCTTCATACTTTGTGCACAGAAGTAGCATGAAGTGTCTTACCGCATTGAAGAGCTCTAATAAAAGTGTCAGTGTATGCATACACAGGGTACTCATACCTGTGTCTTTCCTAGCAATTAACATTGTTATATTCCACAGGAGCAACTCTTTCCTGTCTGAAACTGGGTGTCATTCAGTAGCTCTGTATTTCTTTCACAGTGAATCCAAGCATTTTAAAACTTAAATAAATTTCTTACCTTTTTACTTGTAGTATTGTTTATCAAGTAAGCCTGAGATTCAGCCTCTTGTCCTGGAGAAGACTGCTGTGCAGAAGTACCCTGTTACTGAGTTCCAGCCCATCTACTATGTTGCTGAAAGTTTTAAAGATGCAAAAGAAAAGCTAAGGTAACCCAGTCATTCCACAGAAGACACAGTTTTTTGTCCATTGCCAGTACAGTGGATCCCATTGACATAACAGATCTTGGGTTGACAGTAATGTTTTGAGAAAATGTTGTGCAATGCATAAAGAGACTAAGCAGTTGTTACATTCAAAATTATGTTATGGGCACCAGGGAGAACACACCTTATGCATGAGGCCAAAAATTTGTGGTTAGTCTAATTAAGAGTTTCATCTGTATAATCAATATACAACAAAAATTATTAGTAGTAAAATTTCTAACATACTAACACTTAGGGTCAAAAATACCTAATCAATGCAAAACAACTCTCTTTAACAATACAATAGTTAAAAGTTCATGTGCGAAAAATCTCCTAGTAGCTACTCCTTTTCCTCTGAAGTTACACTCACTCTTACACTTTCTTTTGCATCTAAATCAACAGTTCCAGTCTGATGGTAGGGAGTGAATTTGTCAAGAGGTCTTCAGAGGAGGTCTGTGATGTTAATGAAGGGAGTTTCTTCCTCTCTTTTGTGAGGAGGTGGCCGGTGTTGATGCTTCCCTTCTTCTTCCTCAGGCCAAGGTTTCCTCAGGACCATTTTAATGCTAATTTCTAATATGCTTACAAATTGCTTTTTCTACATTCATCTGAAAAATCTGTGTAAATTCTGAATTTATCGTTTATGTTAACTATTTTTTCTTTGCCTCTTTTGTTTCCTCTGAAACTGGCTTTTTTTTTTCCTCAACTCCTAAGTTTGCTTTACTGTGAATAACTGACTAGTGGGGAGTTTTTGATAGCCTGGGGACAACCAGCGTCACCCTGTTCCTATGCCTTTAAAGCCTCTGTTATCATCCTATGCTGGTACTCCTTTATGCTATATCATTATTTTAGGGTCAGATTTAGTTCACTATGTAAAGTGTAACTCCTTGCTTTTCCTGCCTATGTAAAAATTATTATCAATAGGCATTTTAGCACACAATTATTCAGAATTAAACAAAACTAAAACAAATTGGGTAATAGTTACATGGTCATTAGACAATTGTTATTACGGATAAACAAAACTCCAAGCAAGCCTAATAACCCCAATCCTGAGGCCTGTGTGGTTAGCTTAATACAGAGCCTCCAGCTTGTTACCAGCACTGTGTTTACAAGACTACAGGGCTACACAGTAAATCTTTCAGTCGTCTGTGACATAAATACAGATTCAGTTCCAGTTCAGTGAGACTTTGAAATAACGTCCATGTTCAGTTCTGGTTCTTGAAACAGGAATGGCTCAGACTGTGTTTGAGGATCAGCTTGGATACCACCTCACAACAATATTTCTACTTCTTTTTAGAAAATCCAACACCATATTTCTGGACGTTAGCCAAGCCATTGGAGGTTAGCCTTGGTTCACACTCAACAAATTTTTCACTCGGAGATGCCACACAGGCATTTGTCCTGGACTTGCAGTCGCTTCTCTCACTTTCTGCCGTTCACAGATAAACATGTACTGAGACTCAAGATACTCTGCTGCTCTAGACTCCCTAGCTCCAAGGTCTTCTGAGCTACCTCCCCTGCTGCTTCCTAAGTTTTCATAAGTCTCCAGCATCTCCTGCTGCCCTTTTCTCTGGAATAATACCTGAGAATTATGATCTTCTCTTCTGGTTTGTGCTATTAATATCCCCACACCGTTTCTATCTTCTCTGTATACTTCTCTAAGTAGCAAGTTCCTCGAAAAAAAATGGAAGATGCTGCATTACTCTAAACAAACTATCTTGAAACTTCTTTTATTTGTTTCAGTGATCAAACCGGAAAAGTGATTAAATTGAAATAGAGGCCTGGGCATTAGTCTAGTGCCTGTGTTCATGGCTTTCATCTGGATACGTATGTTAGTGTGCAGTAGAAAACCTCCCTAAAGAATTATCCTGAGGTTGACTTAAAATACTTAAGTTTAAGGAATTAATCTTCGGATTAGGATCTTATCTTCAGCTGAGGCTTCGGAAGACTGTCTTCTAACATGGATCTCTCCCCTTAGAAAAACTGGACTGATGACACAAAACATTTTCATCACAGCCAATATAATTTTTTTCCACTGTTGCACCTTGTGGCCTCCTCATACTGAACTCTAAGACAATGGCCTTAGTTGATAATAATTAGGGCTAAAGTGAAGGAGCAATATGGAGGTGGTATCCAACATATTCCACTGGTCTGGGCATATGGGATTTACCATGCTGAGTCACAGTCCGTCTAGTGGGGATCCATAATCAACTCCTGCGTGCTTTCCTTCCTCTTTCAGCAATAACTTTGGTAATCTGAAGCAGAAATATAAGCCAGTATCCTGCTGGGGTGTACAAGGGCCTGGAACAATAGCTCTGAGTGTCTCATCCCATTCAGAGTCCTCCTTTCCACACTTCTGTGATTATGCAAATTCATGTTTTCCCAAGACTCCAAAATCTTAGTGTTTCTGCCATGGAATTAACTATTTTGCAGCAGGGAAGGCTGCAAATAAGGGGCAGCAAGAATGCTGCTTCACTCCATTGACTATCTCCTGTATTTCCAATGACCTGGAATCCACTGCCAACAATGCCGGAAGTTACCACTCTGCTTGCTCCTTGGTATGCAAAGATGGCATAGGTACTTGATCTTGTTTTTCCAGAAATTTCAGTCTTGGGTCAAGATATTTTGCATTACTGAAAGGAAAATGAGATTTTCAAGTCTGGCAGAGCCCAATAGCTACATGCAGGAGCAGTGTTGCCATGCCAATAGCATAATTAGTCCTGTCTGGAGAAAAACAAAAAGAGGTAACGACAAATGCAGATTCAAGTGTGTTAGCGGATGCTGTAGGTCTCAAATTGCTCTGCAGGATTTCCAGTTATTTCCTCTCACATATTTTCTTATTCTACTTATCAACAAATGCACACATCAAGAGAAGAGCGAGTTACTGAGAAAATGAGCCTTTCAAGTTTGTGTATATTTTTGTATTTTTGCCTCAGGAAATTTGCTCAAACGATCCCTCGCCCTTTCTCTGTTCGGTACAATCCCTACACCCAGAGGATTGAAGTCTTGGACAATGCAAAGCAACTGAAGAACTTAGCTGACACCATCAACAGTAAGGAACTACAGATGTTTTACCTTGAATTCCTCAAAACTTGGATCAGAAATAGCAACCACAAAGCAGATTTTGTTCGGTTGCATCTAATTCTCTCAGTCTGATCAAGATGAAGCAGCACATATCTCCTTTCTGTTGCAAAACCTGGTTCCTAATTCTAGCCAAGTTTCAAAACAGCATTTCCATTTGACCATAGTTTCTTACATCTGAAATATCCAGTATTAGTGGATGTGCTAGGAAAAGCCAGAAGGCCTTGTGATGGATGGTGCATTGCTCTGGCTAGTCTCAATAGGGAAGAAAACAAAAAGCTTGGCTTTAATTACATTTCTTTTTACCATTCTAGCCCTTTTCCTGATACATTTCTCCCCTAATACTGGCTAGCCTGATGAGAGCCAGCACATGTGATCCTGTGAGCCATCCTGATGTGGCTGATGAAAGCAAAGGGCTGACTCTGTAGACCTTACTCCAGTAAGAGGCTAATAAATACGTGCAATCCAGCAATTCTTTGCTCACCTTATTCTTTCAGGAAATGGACATAAAAAATAAATATATAAAGGAGTGTTAGAAATGGGCTAGCTGTAGAGTTAACTGCTCTGATTACTTCCTTTGCAGGTGAGATTGGGATCCTGTGCAATGCCCTCCAGAAGTTGAAATGAAGATTTGCTGTAACTTAGTAGTCACTGGCTACTGACTAGAAGATAAAATGTGCAAATGCCAGCCTTCATCTAGCCTCAGTCTATTACCTTCCTGTGTACTGCATGAATGCTTATGTTATATATGTTAATTACTACATATAGGCAGAGAAATAGACATCTACAGGTTACTCTTGACTCTTTTGGTCTTCATTTTTTCTCACTAATGTATAAAAATGACCTTAGTTCTGGGAACATGCGGAAAGCCTCCGTATCTCTTGTGCCAGAGGTGAGCAGAGGGAGGAGATCCCCACCATGCAGAGCTATAGCCTCCTGCAGCTGTGAGGTTGCATTATCTCCCTGGGCCCAGGGTCAGGATGGCAATGACTAACAGAGTAATCCACCTTGCTTTCTCTCATGGCCATTCTCTCCTCAGTCCCTCACATTTGTGCAAGGTTCCCATGGAGTCCCAAACTTTGCACCTTTCAAAGGCTATGCATGCACTGCTTGGCTCTCTGTACCTCTGCTTTTACACACAAGCACCTCTATCCTGATTTTATTTCTTTTTCCTAAAAATGTAATGTTGCCATTGATCCAAAGCATAGATTCTAGTGGAAAAGATTGCAAGTCTGCTGCAGTCCTATTAATAAACATCTATCACTGTGTCTAAATATACTGTATTTGCAAGACCCATTCCAAAAAGGTTTGTGCAAGTCAAGAATGCTGTATTCTATGATGTCATTGGTCTACAGAGCGGAGTTCCTGAGAAAGGCACTGAGGCTTCTTATCCAGAGCATAGAGTCTATGCCTCAGTAAAGTACCTTCAGAGGAGTGTTACTTAAAAGCAACTCTGGGTGACTTTTTGCAGTTGGATGTGAGATCAGTTTGTCAATAATTTGTGAAAGCAAGAAAACCTGCAGTTATTTTAACAGGGCATCAAGGCCTTATTAGTCCAGTCTCAGAGCTGTGCTGGCTGTAATGTTGTGTAGCATCATGGATTCAGAGCTATTTCAGGATCAGTCAGCTTGCAGAAGGGGGAGACCTCTCTTAATAGACATACTTACCTACTCACTGTGGAAGGCAGGTGTGTGAAGGCTTCCTTGTGTTGTGTGTCCTTCTCTGAGAATGCTTTCTTCACCACTGACACAAGGTGGCTCCTAACTTTCTGGACTCACAGTCCAGAAGGTGGATACCAACACCTTGGAAATGGAGAAGAAGTGGTTCTTACAATGCAGCTGAAGGCATCAGATTCTTCAAACTTCTAATTAATCATATCTGTGGCTACAGCTCTTTACCCAGCCAAAGCTATGGGAGACCTGAGTTAGCTGTGTCCCAGTCTGAGTGCATTCAAACCTAAATATATCTTTCAAGACAGCTCCTAAGTCATCATACTTTTTGGAGTTTCCTTCCTTCTCCCACTTGAGCTCTAATTTCCCTTTTTAAAGGAAAGCAGTTTTATTCTTCCTGGAATATAGCTTGAATGAGGCAGCAAATGGAAACAAGGGTGATTCCAGCTTAACTCAATGGCTGAACCGTGGAGAGAGAATAGATTTACTGTTCCGGACACTGTTTCTGTATTTTACCCAATAACTTTTACTCAAAGCAGCTAAGTGACCTCTTGGACTGCATAATGCCTCCCTGTAACTCCCTAGTTGAAGGAGATCGGCATTTGTATACTGGTACGGAATGAAGCAAAGAAAAGCAGTAAAGTCTTTCCAGTTTTAAACAATCTGCATTATTATACTAATGTGATTCAAGAATCACACTTCTGTTAGAAGATCCAACAACAGAGAGGGATTTGAAAGTCCATGAGTCTCGTACTTCTGATTATACTACTTTTGAATTTATAGTTTGGAAATCAATGGAGCTTTAATGTAAGCATCACCCTTTAGGAAGACAGAAAGTACAGCTGTTTCCATTTTATTTATGAAGGTTAATAACATTAAGGATACCACATTGAACCCTTTTCAATAGACATATACTTATGCAAAATGGCATCATTTTGATGCTTTGAAGTAAGCTTTTTTATCTCTTTATCTTTTTTTCTCCTTTTTTCTTTTCTCTGATGAAAATGTCTGGATAGATCTTTCAATACTGCTTGGCATGAATTTTCAATGTGAAAGTACCCCATATTTTTCTCTCTTAATATAATAGGATGCATAAGGTAACTGCGTACCACAAAGTGACAATTTCATCCCAAGGGTGAAGTCTTTCAAACTAATCCCCAGACAGCTTTCCAAGCTCCTCTGCTTCTGGCTATTAAGAGTGACAGCATCAGTAAATCTGAAGTGATACTGAGAACCCAGGATTCATGGTTGTCTTTTATGTGCAAGTGGAATGGCTAAAGAATATTGATGCCATATGTCTGATTCTGTGTCTCTTGATGCAGGTTTACATGCCAAAGCAGCATAACGTAGCTGTTCAGCAAGACTGAGAGATGAGAAAAAGTTGAATGCTCAGTATTTCAAAAGCAGAGGAAATATGGTGAAAGTAGATTTTCTTGGAGAACAAATTAGCTTGTGCCTATGTGTTTTAAATAGTACAAATAAGTTGCATTTTAAACAGTGCTTCTTACTGGGTGACTTCTAGTGTCTATGCTTAAAGAAAATTAAAGCTGTGTAGCAAAATGTTTTTTGCATTATCTAGCCTCTTTGCAAGGTAACCACGCATGAAGGGGAAAATGCTCATTTGAGGTGTGTTCCAATTCAAAAAAGGTCGTCTTACACTGGTTGACTATTACTCATCCAGAAAAATCATGAAACTGATATCTTAAAAAGTATCTCTTGATGTGTGTAAAATGTAGAAATGTACAGCAAAGCCTTTCTTGTTCTACCTTTGCATAACCTGTACATCTTTGTATGCTACACTAACCGACCTATCCCAAGCTAACTTTTTAAGCAATCTTCCTCTCTTCTATCCCACTATGGCCAGATTTTTTGTGTCTCCATCTCTGGCTCTGTTTCAGGTGATCAAAGAAGCTCTTTTATGAGGCCTTTTTCCTTTTCATTGACCTTGGAAAAGGTCAGTGATGGTGATGAAGGGAGGGCTTGTCAGCACAGGTTACACAAGGAACTAGGCTCCTCTGAGCCTCTTAAGATCCTTGGATCTGACAGTAGCCTTGGAAAAGGGATACTTTATTCCCCATAGGATGTCAAAATTATTGAAAGAGGGATTCTGCAGAGGAGGACTCCACAGGATTTCATTCTGTAAAGCTTGTCTCTCTGCTGTTTCCAACCACGCCAGCAGTTGTCAGAGAAGAAAGGGTTTTTTATGTTCAAATGTGACTGTTTTTAATTACCTAAATAAACAGAAATATTAATACTATACCCATCCCAAATTAGTAGCACTGTGCTTTTAGAGGGTGAAAGTATCTGCAGTGGTAACAGATAAAAAATGGGAAGGTTATTTATCATGATCAGCCACAGCCTTTTAAAGCACCCGCCACAGGGACTGCATGAGAGAGCATGAGCCTACTTTTGGCTGCAGCACACAGCGCCACCTTCTGCAGGAAGAATCTGCCTTTCCCCGTGGGAAATGATCATACACCATGCTCCAGTTCTGGCATGGCCCTTTAAACTGCAGCACCCAACCTCAGACTTTTACTCCTGCACTCCTAGATGTCCCCAAAGGTGCTGAAAGCAGGACTATGGAATCTCTCGGCAGAGCTTTCTTAGACCATGAGTGAGGCCTTCCTGAGCCCATCCTAAGCATGGATTCAGGGCGGTATTGGAATGTCCACTGACTGGAAAAGAACATTTCACTACCTGGAGAGGGGAGGCTGTCTGTGTTGGTTTGGCAGTGAGCTGCAACATTGCTTCAACTATCACACTGGCTGATGAGTCCAGTCTGGTTCTACAGAGAAACTTCAATTCCTATGCACAACCATGATTAGTGTTGTACAAGCATACAGTGATGGAATTCTGACAGTAGAGCATAAAGACAGTCATAGGAGCCTGATGTCCTTTCTCTGCCAGTATTTGTGACCAGTGCCTTAGCATGCATTGTGAGCCCTAGAGCTTTCACCTACATGTTCACATGTAGCTGGAGTAGGGGATCTTGTGCCATTTGCTGTTTGTGCCATGTCTATGGCCTGGGTGTGGGGGTGTATGCACTGGGGAAGGCCCAGTTTGGACTCAGTCAGACTCAGCTCATCTTGTTCACCTGTGCCTGGCCTTGCCACAGTCCCACCGCTGGGGGAACGTGGGAGTGGGAAGAGATCTCTTAAAGATCGCTTCTCCTCCTCCCTCTCCATTCAGTTGGCAGCTGCAATTCAACGGCCTCTGAAGTGTGCCCTGGCTCTCCCGATGTCCCCTGGGACCTGAGCCCGGGCGGGGGTGAGGAGTTCGGGCCGAGCCGAGGGGACCGCGGGCTGGCGCCGGGTTCAGCACCGCGGACAGCGGCAGGCCCAGCCCTGCTCTGGCCCAGGCCGAGGACACACGCACACGCAGACTGACATATGGACACACGCCCTCCCTGCACTATGCAGCGTTTCAGTACTTAAGGGAACCTATAAGAAGGATGGAGGCAATGTTCTTTAGCAAGACCTGTTGCGAGAAGACAAGGGGTAATGGTTTTAAACTAAAAGAGGGTACATTCAGACCGGATACAGGGAAGAAGTTTTTTACGAGAGTGATAAAACACTGGCACAGGTTTCCCAGGGAGATGGTGGAAGCCTCATCCCTGGAGACATTCAAGGTCAAGCTTGATGGGGCTCTGAGCAACCTGATCTAGTTAAAGATGTCCCTGCTCACTGCAGAGGGGTTGGACTAAATGACTTGTAAAGGTCCCTTCTAACCTAACACATTCTACGATTCTACGATTCTACAAATATAGAATGGGAGTATGTGACTCAGCCAGGGTCAGCTAATGGGTACATCAGAAGGAAGAGATTATCTCCTCTGTGGACCTGCAAGATTCTAATGCACCGTAACTTGGGGTATGAAGGTATGGGTGCTCACACTCAGAAATATATTTGTGGATGTCAAGGGGTGCCATGCCCTGGCAGGAACAGAGCTGAATTCCCCCCTGAGCTTGCCCTGTCAGCTGTGAAAAGAAATGTGACCCTGGGCTTTTTGAGAGTCTGCTTCACTGGAGATAAAATCATCACAGA